ATGTGGATGGTTGTGCTTGTGGTACATTTTGAAAAATAATATGAGGAGAAGTTTGACTTGAACTATGGGTTGTTGGTGGCAGATTACCATAACATGTTGGTAAAGATGAACTTTGATTGCTTTCGTTCATCCCATCAAATCTTCCCATATCCGCTTCAAAAAGTATATTGTTGAAGTAATACTGAACAAATGATTTGGTTTTTGGAGTGTAATTTCGAAGTTTATTTCCGATAAATGTACCATATGTAGTACACTCGTCGGGAGATGGTTGATTTAATTCCATGTTCGAAGCAGATTTCTTTAAAATCGCAAATGCTTCATCGATTCTTGTGTCTGTATTGGCTAAATTTTTTCGTTTTTTTCCTCTTGACTGTTGGACTGTACTCGGACAAGTGAACTCATTATCTGCAGATACAAATTGTTGTTGTTGTGRAAATGTTTATGTTTCACTTGTATCAAGTGCATCCTCCTCTGGCATAAAAATATCGCTTGTGTCTGTGGATGTTTCAGTTCCAGTATACGGTGAAGCACACATTTCTCTTGTCTCACTTAGAATCTGAAATACATAATAACAATAAATATATTATATTAAATAAGAATACCTATAACACATCGTGAATACAGTATTGGATAATGTTGTAAAATTATGAACTTAAAACGCTCATAAAAATTTATTTTTACTTGCTTTTATATATTTTATTTTTGATAAAAGTAGAAAAACTTATTTTAAATCTTGTGTTAAATTTTAAAATCTTAGATTTAAAAAGAAAAATTTGTATGAATTTCTAACTCTAAATAATACACGTATAATATAAGGTATAATACAGAAAAAGAACAAAATACTATTATGTAAACATCACTAATCGTGTATCATATTATGTAGTTTTTACTTTTAAAAGTGTTATAGTAGGTATATAGGTAAATTAATAAAACACTATTTTAATATAGATGCCTTCCACGTCAAATGAGTGGCTTGATATTTCAAGACAATTTGAAACAACATGGAATTATCCGAATTGCATTGGTTCTATGGATGGAAAGCACATCGTCTTGCAATCTCCAATGAACAGCGGCAGCGAATATTTTAACTATAAATCATTTTTTAGCATTGTATTGTTTGCATTAGTCGACGCAGACTACAATTTTCTGTTTATCGATATCGGGTGTCAAGGACGTATTTCGGATGGAGGAGTGTTCAAAAATACTGAATTACACAAAAAAATAGAAAGGGAGAAATTAAACTTGCCCTCACCAAAACCTTTGCCAGGGAAAAATATAGATATACCGTTCGTTATTCTTGCAGATGAGGCTTTTGCCCTTACAAAACATATTATGAAACCGTATTCTGGAACCCATGATAAAGGTACAAAAGAAAGAATATTTAATTACCGGTTAAGTCGTGCTCGACGAACTGTTGAGAACGCATTTGGCATCTCATCTGCCGTCTTTCATGTTCTAAGAAAACCAATGTTATTGGAACCTCAAAAAGCTCAAATTGTGGTTATGGCAGTTGTTTACTTACATAATTTTTTAAGACGTAGTAAATCGTCAAGAAACATCTACACCCCATCTGGATCTTTTGATAGAGAAGAGGAAGGCCACATGATACGGGGTGATTGGAGGGAGTCTGGAAGTACTACAACTTCTTTACTACTGTGCGGGCCGTAGTATATAGTAATAATATATGAGTCCGGCCACCAAACTTTAATTATTACGACACCTAGTTCTAAGAAATATGTTATGTAGGACTAGTTGGTTGTGTGGTGGTGTGATAGCTCGAACAGCAGTGGTCGGGATTGCTGGGTAAAAATACTGTCGAGCTATGTAGTGTATGTTGTGGATTATGTGTATTTGTGTATGAATGTGTGTATGTATGTAGAAGTGTAGAATAAAACAAATAATAATAAAAATGGTAACAAGGTTTCTGGTAATAAGTTGCTGTTGCTGTACAATACACAATAATAATAATAATATAAATATAACAAAATCACAGCAACACAAATGTATAAAATATGGTATAATAAATAAATCAAGCCCTTATGGCTATAACAGTAAATAATATATTATGGCCCTTCT